CAGATCCATAGCTTCAGGATTGGATAGCTTTGAACTTGCAGAATTGGGCACATGCAAAGTTGTATTATGTTGAAGTGAATAAGGTTGCTTGGTAGATCTGAAAATATGTTGCAGAGTTTCCAGGCCTGCAGCCAGTTGCTGGATTGAGGCATACATTTTACCTAAAAGAATCAGGTATGCCCAAATCACTTGTCCACCTAATGTACCCTAACAATGTATTCTATTATTTTTCTCTTTGTGATGATTACTTTGTCATTTTGTTGACAGGTGTGCCACTGCTTACATTCTCTTGGCAGAAGAAGAAGCAACAACTATTGTGGAAGCAGAAAAACTGTTTAAACAGGCTCTGAAAGCAGGTGAAGGCTGTTACAGACGTAGCCAACAATTACAGCATCATGGTACCCAATATGAAGCTCAGCACAGTAAGAACCTTTCCTTCTGTTACCAATTCTTTAGATCAGAAGGTCTCTGTAGGGCCTTTTGTGACTCATAGGTTCACTTCATTAGATGCTTGGAATGGCTAAACTGATGTAGGATTTAAATTAAGATGAGGCAATAGGAAAAAATAAAAGACAGGGTGGTTACCTTCATTCACTTTCTCATCCCGATTTAATCCTGCATCAGTTTAGCCACTCCATATGCGTGCATTATGAAGTGAGCTATAGTTCACAAAAGCTTATGCCTTTTAATAAACATATTAGTCTGAAAAGATACTGCCACACTCCTCATAATTTTTGGCTATCATAGTCTAATACAGCTGTCTTCCTATAATATGTAGGGATCTCTGAGAAACAAGTGTCTTGCAATTGACTAAGAATAATTTGACTACAGAGAAATACTGTAGCTTGAACATTGAATTCTATTTATTATAAAAACTGAATAGTGCAATAGTTCTGTGAAAAAAACTGTGAAATTCAGTAATATAAGATATATGTAAATAATTTGCAAAACTGGAAAAAAAGAAAAAATGCAAAAAATGGAAGAAATAAGTCTAGGGTGTACAACTTAAGATAGCTAAAAAGAATACATTTTTGACTTCTTATGAACTTATTAGGTTATTGGAGAAAATAATCCATAGTTTCTAGTTACAGCCACCTGCATGCAGGAAAGATGAATTCAAAGTGGGATAAGAGCAATGAGTTAATTTGTTTAATCACAAAAATGAAATATGTCATGCAAAAAAAGAATCTGGAATAATTTGATTGTTTAATTTGTAAAATAAAAACAAGTGGATCATATTTAGAGACTTCTTTCACATTTGCTTTTTCTTTTTGATGTTTTATGAAAAAATTGTTCCTTTTTCAGCTCACATTTTTCAAAATATGTTTAGTGACATTATTCTGTGGTGTGTGTGTGTATGTATGTGTGTGTGTTAGTAAGGTTTCAATGCACTGGATTCTCCATGCTTTTCTTCCAAAATGGGCGAATGCAAGTAATTAGTAGTAAGTCTATAAAACTGAGAATTATATGTTACAGAATGACATTGTTGTTAGCATTTATTATGATTGAATCATTAACAGAAAATTAAAATTTGCCTATTTTTTTGTCTGCATGTTGATGTTATTGGAGAAATGGTAGAAAGGCTAAAGCTTGAGAAGATAGAGGCAGTTTATAAGAAGCAAATTAGCTAATCAAGAGTAAAATTTCTAGATACATTGAATGAAATTAATTATCTAATAAAGGATTATTTTCAAATCCTAAAAGAATAGCACCATTTCATAGAGTCTGAGAATGTGGGTTTTGGTTAAGAGCTCTCGGAGGGATGATAATATATGATAATAAATTTTCTGCACAGAAATGATTTTTCTAAAAAATAGAGAACTTGCAGTGTCTTTATAGTGGCACAATATAGAAGAATATGATTATCAGACATAATCAAAAAATCAAATCAAAGGTTGCCATTATAGAATGAACAGGACTTGTCCTTATCTGGTTTACATGGTTTAGATTAGGGAGGGACAGCAGTAATTGGTTCACTTTCTGATACCTTACATGTCATAATTTCTACCAGCGTAGCAAATGACAGATGGTAGGAATTGCACTCTAGCAATATTCGGGTTGTCCTCTTCCACTAATCTAAATTGCCTATCTTTAAGAAAATCAAAAACTAAAACAAAAATAAAACAGAAGAGGGCCTCTGAATACCTCTGGAGATTAAACAAAGACATAAATTAAAACATAACAAAACTTGAAAAACTTGCTGGTCAGAATCTGTACTCCCATAGTATGTGTGAAGCTCTTGGTAAATACATTCAGTGATCTAGGTTTTATCTTTCTAACCCAATATGTGCATTGCAGTCTTCAGTGATAAACATGAGAGGAATGTCTACTAATTTACTGTATCTACCAAGGTTGGCTTCCTTCTTTTTAAAATTAAGATAACATGCCAAATATTATTGATATCACTGAAAAATTTATTTAATGTTTCAGTTCATTGATACACAATTCATTATAGCCATATTTACCTGGATGGTTTTACCATTTTAAAGATGAATGTTTTGTAGTAATACTAGCATATGCTTCTAAAGAAATTCTATGATTGCTTAAAGTCACCCCTGACTTAATGGTATGTTAAGGTTGGTCACACAGTTAACCAGGTGTTTTTATTGCATTTGGCATTTTTATTTCTCTTCAATTCATACATCATCTGGTATTGCAATATCAATGAACCAGACTTTTTTCTTTTCCACATTACTGATGTCAGGCGTGTTGTGGCCAGATGTCTGTCTGTTTGGATGGGAAAGTCCCACAGGATCTTGATTTGCTCATTTTCAAGAACATTATCAATTTGGTGTTCCCGGTAATTTTTGCTGCATTCAAACCCAAACTTCTAGAAAAGCTTCCAATGTATAATTTTGGCAACTCAATCATGACATTGTAGATAATCAGTCTGTGAGATTTCGCTGCTGCTGCTGCTGCTGCTGCTGCTGCTGCTTCTGATAATAATAATAATAATAATAATAATAATAATAATAATAATAATAATAATAATAATAATAATAATAATAATAATAAAATAATTTAAATGTACATGTTGCCTGACTATCAGCTACTCTAAATAGTTTATAAATTGTTAAAAATATTTTAAAATAAGACAATATAAGAAGCACAAAACAAAATAATAATAAAAAAAAAGATGGCAGAGAGAATAAATCCCAGTAGAAATGGGAAAAAGGAAGAAAGGGGGCATCCATTGTCCTCACCAACAGCCTTCAGAATGGGGTCATTTGAATTTTGAGGGGAACCTCATTCCAGAAGACATGTGCTATTACAGAAGAGGCACACTTTTAGAATCTTGCTAGGTGGCATAGTTTAAGAAACCCAGAACACATCAACCCTGTCAGAAAAAAACCAGCTAAGCAGATACTAGAAAAAGAGACATCCCCTCAAGTAACTATCCCCTATGTCCTATAAGACTTTAGAGGTAGTAAGAAACACCTTGACTCACACTCAGAAAGAAACAGGCAATCAGTGCAGTTCACAAAGCAGAGGTATTATTACATGGGCAAACTGAGAGAGCCATGATGGTGCACTGGTTAGAATGCTGTATTGCAGGCTAATTCTGCTGACTGCCAGAAGTACGATCCTCACCAGCTCATGGTTGATTCAACCTTCCATCCTTCCCAGGTCAGCAAAATGAGGACCCAAATTATTGGGGGCAATATGCTGACATTGTAAAGTGCTTAGAGAGGGCTGTAAAGTACTGTGAAGCAGTAGATAAGTCTAAATGCTATTGTTATCACTAAGCCCATGCCACTGCATTCTGGACCGGGCTGATACTTCCAGGTGGTCTTCAAGAACAACTCCATACACAGAACAGTCAACCAATATTAGCATATTAAGACAAATAATTATTTAGCAATAACACTTAAACTTATATACTGCTCCATAGTGCTTTACAGCAGGGGTCGTCAACCTGTGCGCTGTGGCCCACTACTGGACTATGGCCTCCTGACCATTGGGCCATGGGACAGGCACATGTGCACATGTGCGTGCAAAACCCCCACTTGTGCTAGCGCTGTGGCTACGGGGTGCGAAAATGGGATGCCATGCTGTGGGGTGCAAAAACGGGCTGTCGCCACGCCTCAGACCGTGAAAATGGGATGCCATGCCACAGGGTGCAAAAATGGACTGCTGTCACACCATGGGATATGAAAAAGGGCCGCCACTACCCTGTGGGGCACAAAAATTGACCGCTGCCACATCTCGGGCCGCGAAAATGAGACACCATGCCTTGGGGTGCGAAAACGGGATGCCACTTCACCACGGGGAGTGAAAGTGGGATGCCGCCACCCTGCAGGGTACAAAAATGGGGCACCACATCATGTAAGAACAGGGCAGGTCTAGCGAGTATCACATGGGTGCTAGCGCTGCCCCGTTTGCATTGCATGGGCACTCCTGGCCCCATTCACACGTGTGCACACATGTGCAAAATGCTGCCCCTTCCCTTTCCCCCCGGTCTACCAACCGAGAAAGGTTGGTGACCTCTGCTTTACAGTACTCTCTGGGCAGTTTACAATGTCAGCACATTGGGTCCAACAATCTGGGTCCTCATTTTACTGACAGTAAAAGGTGAAAGAATATTTTATAGGGTTTATTAGGGTTATAAATGTTCGAGTACGATAGATTTCATTTTCAGCAGTGGAGCACCATTGATAAAATAAATATCCAGACTAGAAAATTAGCTCTACCATGTTTCCCCAAAAATAAGACCCAACTAAAAAATAAGCCATAGCCTGATTTTTAGCATGCTCCTAATATAAGCCCTACCCTAAATATAAGCCCCAGTTAAGATCATCAGCCCTGGGGGGGTGGGTTTGGCCAGCACAGGAGGTGGCTAGCGCATGGGGGCTGATGGTGTCTGGCAGCAGCCGCAGTCTGCACAGTGCAGGTAAGTCCAAGCACTGTGACCACTGGGCTGGCCTCCAAGCAGAGGCGTTGGGGGGGAGGCAGGTGATCCCAATGCATGGCAGCATCAGCAGCAGGCAGAGGCAGAGGCATGGGAGGGAGGCAAGTGATTCCGACATGCCACGTGGCTACCCACCCACTCCGTCCCACTGTCTCTCACCTTGCCCACAGCCATGATGGGGCAGGCAGCCGCCTGCCTCCCCCCCCCACGCCTCTCCCTTCAAAAACTTGTGGGAGACGGAACATCCCAAAAGTTGTGGGAGACCGAATAACGGTGAGCTACTTGGGCAAAGGAAGCCTATGCAATAAGATGGACCCTCTTAACCTGGAGGCATTTCCTAGAAGGAAGTAAAATCCCTTTCCAAGTCTGGGCTGATCATAAGAATCTTGAAACTTTGAAAACTCCCAGGAGGTTATCTCCAAACAGGCATGCTCGGCCCAGCACTTCCATTGTTTTAACTTCTCCATCCACTATCTGCCTGGGGGAAACAACTTCCTAGCAGACGCTTTGTCACAAATGCCACAATAGAACAGTGTGAAGGCAGAAGTGGTTAAACCTCCACTTTTCCCACAGCAACTGGCTGCCCCAGCCACTATGAGGGCACAGACTAAGAAATCCCCACCATTAAACAATGGGGTGATAGGGGAGTTCAAGAAGGCGCTGGAGAAAGTCGAGTGGTTCAGCAACCATAAAAATCTCTGTTCAGTGTAAGATGGATTGGCTTGGGTGGGAGGAAAGCTGTATGTGCCTGCAAATCAGAGACTGAGAATCATGCAGGTCTGTCACGATTCAAAAAATGGCAGGACACTTCGGGTTTGTAAAGACTCTTCACCTGCTAAAGAGGCAATTTTGGTGGCCTTCCTTAAAGAAGGACATCAAAAGCTATGTGGCTAGCTGCCCTACTTGTGCTGCTGCTAAATGTTGGCAGGGAAAAATGCCTGGCCTCCTGCAGCCGGTGGCAAGCCCTTCAGCACCCTGGACAGAGATTTTATTGTCGAGCTACCCAAAAGTGCGGGAAACCCTGTCATTTGGGTTGTCACTGACTTGTTTTCTAAACAAGCCCGTTTTATTCCATGTCAGAAGATCCCGAACGCAAAGACTTAGGCTAAGCATATTTATCACCTTCATGGTGCTCCAAAACATATAATATCCGATAGGGGTGTTCAATTCACCTCCATGTTCTTGAAAGCCTTTTTGGATCTTTTAGATCATCTAGTCAAGAAAATAATGGAGCCTAAGCCTTTCCACTAGAGTTTACCTTTCCACTATATTTTTGCAGTCACTGCAGCCATCAAAAGAAGCTGGGCCAAAGTTTATTGGTCCATTTCCTATTAAACATATTATCAATCCTGTTACAGTGGAGCTGGAACTCTCTAAGAGTTTGAGACAAATCCACCCAGTAAACCACTATTATTGAAACCTGAGGTCACCTCCAAATTACAACCTATTACTGCTCCAGCTCCTCAGCCTATTATGGTTGAGGCGAGCAACACTTTGAAATCAGAGATATTCTACATTCTCATAAACATCACAGCTCCACCCAGTATTTAGTGGCCTGGAAAGATTTGCCTGCTTCCCAGAATGAGTAGGTTTATAAAAGACATGTCGGGGCCCCTAGATTGCTTAAATGCTTCCATGCATGCTATCTCAATAAACCTGATTAATGTGTTTAATTTTGTTTTCCTTTCCCCCTTCCTAAGGGGGGGGCGGAATGTCAGAGCCCCTCAAATGTATTTGCCTTTAATCCTACTATCTTTCCCTTTCTTTGCTTTTACCTATGTATTTTCGGGGCTTGCTATAGTGTTGGGGGAGGGTGCTTACATGAGGTATAATGTTCGCTTTGCTCTGCTTTGTACAAGGTGCCCACCCTCTGGGCGAGAGGAATGTGACCTGAAAATATCTGCCTTATCTCCAGACAATGGAGCTGGGACCATTGAGAAACAAAACCAAGAGAGACCTCGAGAAACGCACTAAATCTCCAGCTTCTCATAACATGGTAGCACCTGTGGATTGGCTGGGTTTCAACTGGATGGTTGGACACTTGGGGGAGGAGTTTTGAATTGCCTTTTTGATGTAATCCTTTACACACCAAATCTTTAGACCTTGCTTTGCTCTCTTGCCATCACTAACTTTCAATAAAAGTTCCTTTTGAGACAATGCCTGTTTCAAGAGTTTTGCTTTCTTGGGAGATCTAGTTGAGGCAGGTCCTTACAAGAGTGCTCCTAATCTCTGCTTGTTACCTGTATAACAGACACTTGTCCACAGAAGCACTCAATCAATCAGATACTAGGCAGCTCTGCAAGATTCAAGGCAGCTGGGACCATAGTCACCAAGAAAACAGTTGGTAACACACTACGCCGTGAAGGACTGAAATCCTGCAGCACCCACAAGGTCCCCCTGCTCAAGAAAGCACATGTACAGGCCCGTCTGAAATTTGCCAATGAACATCTGAATGATTCAGAGGAGAACTGGATGAAAGTGTTGTGGTCAGATGAGACCAAAATCGAGCTTTTTGGCATCAACTCAACTCGCCGTGTTTGGAGGAGGAGGAATGTTGCCTATGACCCCAAGTACACCATCCCCACTGTCAAACAGGGAGGTGGAAACATTATGCTTTGGGGGTGTTTTTCTGCTAAGGGGACAGGACAACTTCACCACATCAAAGGGACAATAGACAGGGTCATATACCGTCAAATCTTGGGTGAGAACCTCCTTCCCTCAGTCAGGGCCTTGAAAATGGGTCGTGGATGGGTATTCCAGCATGGCAATGCCCAAAACACACGGCCAAAGCAATAAAGGAGTGGCTCAAGAAGAAGCACATTAAGGTCCTGAAGTGGCCTAGCCAGTCTACAGATCTTAATCCCATAGAAAATCTGTGGAGGGAGCTGAAGGTTCGAGCTGCCAAACATCAGTCTGCAAAGAGGAATGGGACAAAATCCCTCCTGAGATGTATGCAAACCTGGTGGCTAACTACAAGAAACGTCTGACCTCTGTGATTGCCAACAAGGGTTTTGCCACCAAGTATTAAGTCATGTTTTGCAAGGGGGTCAACCTATTTCACTCATTAAAATGCAAATCAATTTATAACTTTTTTGAAATGTGTTTTTCTGGATTTTTTTTTTTGTTATTCTGTCTCTCACTGTTAAAATAAACCTACCATTAAAATTATAGACTGATCTTTTCTTTGTCAGTGGGCAAATGTACCAAATCAGCAGGGGGTCAAATAATTTTCCCCCTCACTGTATTTAGTCACTAAGTGTTGATACCAATTTGATGACACATAATAAGATTTACAAGGGAAAAAAATCCTGAGTATGTTCTCTTACTACTTGCTAACCTTTGAGGGTTGTCCCTGTCTTATTCTTTAGTATGTATCTCACTTGTTTTTTCACCTTATACAGAAGGATCAGTTCTCATGGAGTGTCAGAATTTCTGCAGTAATTTGTTAAGCACCAAGTTCCTCACTTTTGCAAACTAATCATACACACTCACAGATGTTCAAAGAACTAAGATTTTTAAAAATGATAATTGCAAATTATTATTAAATGTGAACTATCAATAGTATGAAAAGAAATTGCATTACGCACATAGCAATGTATCTCTTACCACTCTTCAATGTATACAGTGCCAGTGTGCAGAAACCAAATTCAAGGGGCTTTCTTAAGATTGTCATGCAGGTTTGTGTAAATAGGTCTATGTTAGCTCTATGAAATGCCAAGCAGTTTACTGTGTACAAAATTATCTGGGAGGAATAGTTAATTTAAAAATGTTTTTCTGCATCCTATCAGAATTTCTATGCTGCATTAGCAAAATATTGATGAGCAAAGTGTAGATGTAGGCTGATGGCCCAGATTTGTGGCATGCTGTACAGATGAGTTGTTATTTCAGAGGGGGATGCACAGAAAGAACACTTGCCTAAATAAAACATGTTGTGGAAGTTACTATACTGTGGTGATGTGAAAGTATCACAATGATCTAATATCTAATTGGTAGTATATTACAGACATAATAAAAATACCCCTTCCATCTATATAAATGTATTTCTCTAACATGATTAGCGATGGATAGGTTTTAGATCTTTTTTATTGTGTTGGCCTACTATCTCTATTAAGTAATAAATTCTAAGAAAAGGCATTTCTTTGGAGATGTCAAAATAGACCTTTTGTTCTGTCAGTTTCTATAAACACTCAATCTCTTCAAACCTTTTCCCCTTCTTCTCTCTTTCTTTCTTTATTTCTTTCTTTCCTTCCTTCCTTCTTTTTCTTTCTTCTCAGGACGGGACACTAATGTATTAGTCTACATTAAAAGGAGGCTGGCAATGTGTGCGAGAAAACTGGGGAGAACCAGGGAAGCTGTGAAAATGATGAGAGATGTGAGTTTGGATTTGTGTTAATATTTGTCTTTTACGTAACTAGTCGCAATCATAGAGAGGAATTTCCTTTTGCTATAGAACCAACCTATCTACATAAAACAGTGCTGATACCTAGAGTGCTTAACCTCCTTTCTTTTTTTCTGGTCCTTTTCCTATCATCCCTCATATTTCTGTAGAGGGTGAAAGATTTGTGCCCTTTATTGTTTATTGCTCCTGTCTTGTCTAGTTACTTTTACATGGAACTTTATATTAAAATCTGATTTTTCTTATGAATTCAACATCTATATAAGGAAAATCTGCAGAGTCTCCTATTGCTGTATTATGAAGGGTATGAAGAAGGACACCATTAAGCAAAGAATCATCCCTGATTTTACCATAAACATAGAGGAGTAATAAGCGGAAAAAAGATTAGTTACAGTATTTTAGAAAATTTGGTATGTAGTACTGAAGAAGGAAGTTTATGTGACTAACAGATGCATTTCAACTCAGCCCCCGGGGCATATGTTGTTAGTTATGGGACAGTTTTGAGGGTGATTTTAAGGAATCTTGCAGATGCATAAAGTAGCCAATCCCGTGCCTTTTTTTTTTTTACTTGATTTTGCCAAAAACAAAAGCAAAAAAATGCACTGTTGAAAATCAGTGATTTTGTTGTCCCCTCGAGGTACATGGGTAGCCTCAGGCAGGCCATAAATTGCCATTTAATGAATGAAAAAAACATCCATTTCTTAGAATGAAAGAAATGTGAAGAATGCAAAGTAATGCAATTAATTTACAATTTCAAAAGGGTTAAGAGAGATGAAGAATGTCACAAATTGTTCCACCTCCTGCACAGTTTTTCTGGTTTCAGGATGAGAGACAGCATACTTTAGTGATCAAAATGTTAGAGTGGTATCAAGAAGTCTAGTGTCCACCATGTAAACTTCCTGGATTACTTATTGCAAATTACTCTTTCTCAACCCAACCTTTCTCACAGGGCCACTGTGGGAAACAAAATTGGGAGGAGGAAGTGCTATAATGCTATTGTGAGCCCTTAAATGAAAAACAGGTTAAACAAATATAAATAGTATAAATTACAACTATTTTAACTGTTTAAATGGAGTCAGGCAGCATACTAAATCTAAATAATAACATTAAAAACACAAAATTGAATATACCTATAATTAAAGATAAATTTTAATCCGACCATTGTTCCACTTTGGGAGGGAAACATACATTATTTAACTTTCAGGGCCAAGGCCATTGTTGCTTCCCTTGGTTATGCTGAATTCTTATTCCTAGATTTGCTTTTAATACTGTATGACAAAATGCATAGAATTCAGGGACATTCTATTTATTGTATAGCTGGAATCTTATCTTTAAAAGTAATCCAATCTGCTTTACCTCTTTTTACTCCTCAATTTGAAGAAACTAAGTTCCTCCCTTTCACTATCTAGCATGGGAAAAACATAAAAACATTTTGGTATTTTGATTTTTTAGTATAAGGAGTCCTTGCTTAAGGAATTGGAATCTCAGTTATTGAACAAAGCAGTTGTTAACTGCTTAACTCTTGGCACTCCTGACTGTGGTCATTAAGCAATCTCCTGGCTCATTAAGCAGATGGAGCAAAAGAACTGCTTAACAAAAGATTTTATCTCTATGCGGAGCTTCATATGGAGCTGAAATCCTCCTGCCAGGCAGCCCTTTCCTTTTCAATGTTCCTTCAGCCCACCAAAGGATTTCAGCTCCCCAGCACGCACAGAGGGGCTTTGTGAGGCTGCAAGAACCAAGTTGAAATCTTCAGGATTTTAGCTCTGTTCTGCAACTTGCTAAAAGGTTTCCCTTCCATTCCATGCATTCTTCCAGTCCCACAAAGGATTTCATCTCCCTTTGATTCATAACCACAGGGAGTGTGGTATGATCAAAAGTGCTTTAGAGACTATATAGCATCCTTTCCAAAGGTGTCATTAATCCAAACAGTCATTAAGTGATTAGTTGTTAAGTGAGAACTACCTGTAAAAAATTAAAACATTGTAGAGAGGAATTATGTCAAATTTCATAAAAATCAGGACAAAAATTTTGAGCGACATGCTTTTAAAAGGGTTTCCTTTTTTAAAAAAAAGTCTATAGAATTTTTTGCTTTTTACAAAAATCAGCCAAAAATTTACAGTAAAGCCAAATTGCAATTAGATTAGATTAAATGTGCCAAATCTGATAGAGCTCAATGCAGGGCTTTCAATGCTTGTTTAATTTCTCATTTAAAATGTACATAATTTGTTTGAGTGGAAAATGTAATGAAATTTGCTGCAAAAATATGTCCTGGAGTAATAAATATATATGTCACTCAAATTTCATTCAGAGGGATTGATCAGTTTTTATGCAAAAGATAGAGAGACAAGAGGCATTAACTCTTTTTGTGAATTTATTACAGCCAACAGGTATGGAGGTTTCAGAGAAATACAAGTAATGAATATATTTATGTTTTGTTTAAAAGAGAGTATTCCTTAAACCATTTGAGTAGATAAGAATTACTTCTGTGAATTGCTTCATAGAATAAAGTTTCTGTAAGTGAAGGAAACTGAAAGATTAAGCAGCATTTCCTCTTTCAAGACTTTCCATACTTGCAACATTCTTAGATTGGGATAATTTATATAAATCACAAAGATCCATTTTTGGTAATTTCCATAAATATTTGGGTCAGATTCTCTGGTATTGTTCAACTTGTCAAAGTTGTGTGTCCTCAATGAAATTTTAAGATGTAAATAAGAAAGACATTAACATGTCAAAATGTTGTTATTCCCTAATCAGTATATTGGATGAGCTTTTTATATAATGAGTTTGCATAACTGTGGAACACTGCAATCTTTTTCATCAATAGGAAAATGAAATGGAACCTGAGATTTTTAAATAAGATATAATATACCATACAATCCTATATGTATTCAGTAGAAAATTCTTTCCTAGAATAGAATAGAATAGAATAGAATAGAATAGAATAGAATAGAATAGAATAGAATAGAATAACAGAGCTGGAAGGGACCTTGGAGGTCTTCTACTCCCATCCCCTGCTTAGGCAGGAAACCTTATACCATTTCAGACAAATGGCTGTCCAATCTCTTCTTTAAAACTTCCAATGTTGGAACATCACAACTTCTGGAGGCAAGTTGTTCCACCGATTAACTGTTCTAACTGTCAGGAAAGGTTGCTTCTCTTCTTGATTAGTTTCCATCCATTGCTTCTTGTCCTGCCCTCAGGTGCTTTGGAGAATAGCTTGACTCCCTCTTCTTTGTGGCAGCCCCTGAGATATTGGAACACTGCTATCATGTCACCCCTAGTCCTTCTTTTCATTAAACTAGATATACCCAATTCCAGCAATGGTTCTTTATGTGTTTTAGCCTCCAGTTCTCTGATCATCTTTGTTGCTCTTCTCTGTACTCTTTCTAGAATCTCAACATCTTTTTTACATCATGGTGACCAAAGCTGGATGCAGTATTCCAAGTATGGCCTTACCAAGGCATCATAAAGTGGTATTAACACTTCACATGATCTTGATTCTATGTATGTTAATGCAGCCTAGAACTGTGTTGGCTTCTTTAGCAGCTGCAGCACACTGCTGGCTCATATTTAAGTGATTGTCCACTAGGACTCCAAGATCCCTCTCACAGTTACTACTATTGAGCCAGGTACCACCTATATTGTACCTATGCATTTAGTTTTTCTTGCCTAAAAGTAGAACCTTACTTTTTTCACCATTGAATTTCATTTTGTTAGATAGCACCCAATGTTCAAGACCAGCAAGATCCTCCTGTATCTTAAGCCTATCTTCTGGAGTGTTGGCTATTCCTGCCAGCTTGGTGTCGTCTGCAAATTTGATGAGTTCCCCATCTATCCCCTCATCCAAATCATTAATGAAGATATTGAAAAGTACTGGGCCTAAAACAGAGCCTGGGGTACCCCACTGCATACTTCCCTCCATGTGGATGCAGTTCCATTGAGAACTACACAATAAGTGCGGTTGGTCAGCCAGTTACGAATCCATATGGTGGTGATGCTGTCTAACCCACATTTTTCTATCTTATCAAGTAGTAGGTTGCGGTCTACTTTATCAAATGCCTTATTGAAGTCCAGGTAAATTATATGCACAGCATTGCTCTGGTCCACTAATTTTGTCACCTTGTCAAAGAATGCAATATGTTTTGTCTGGCATGAACTGTTTTTGACAAACCCATGTTGGCATTTGGTTCATTCCAGTCTTACTGCTGGTATTAAGAATCTTAGAATGAAGTTTTAATTAAAGTGTTCAGTCAATCCCTGTATGCAATTTCATTACCTCTATACTAATAATGTGTAGACAGATATGCAAACCTTCCAGACAAGATTTCCTAGATTTATTGACAATTCTAGTTCACAATCAGGGACACCCTCCCTCCCCCTTTTTTAAAAAAATACTGGTCTTAGCATAAGGACCATATATGGCCCCAGTAAGATCAAACTGTATGTCAGGCTTTGAATGTCTGTTATTGGTACACCTTAATTTACTCATATTGTCCAACAGATAATTTTTATATCAGTTTATGCATTCTTAACTCTGATTGTGTTTCTATAAGTAGCCTTCTTCTATAGTATCTAAAGGCACTAGGTTGTTATGGGCTGCTCTAGAGTGTTTATAAAGGAAAATACTAACTTTTATTAGGAGAAGCTGATGGCAGGCATAGAAGGCAGGATCTGAGGGTTTACTGCTCAGATCAATAGATTAAAAGAGTCCCAAGCAAACCCCACCCCAGTAGTTCATCTGGTCAGTTTAAATGAGCCAATCCCCAGGTGTTAAGTCCACTGTGGGAACGGAGCTGATAACGGGGTCCGTTCCCATGCTTGTGAAGATGTTTTTAGGTCTTCCCACCTTCCTTTCCGCAGCGAGAGATAAGCCAGATGGTTGGAGGCACATTCCTTTCTCACCCCAGGTTGACATCAAGGGAGAAACAGTTCAAAGAGGAAGTATGTAGAAACAGTGGAAGGGATACATT